ATTGGCACCAACATTCATTTTGATCCATTATTATTTTTTGTGCAGGAGCACATTTTAAAAAATCCATCCTTTTGGTCCTGCCCCAAAAAGTGCTCTAAAAATGTTGTATATTAATATTTTTTTTCACTTTAAAGCTTTGTGCCAGTCAAACACAAGGAGAGAAGTAAAACTGGAATAAAGATGTTTGATTGAAGCGGAGGTTTGATTTATCCCAGCAGGAAGTACGTTTCTGTTTGTCATTAGAAAGACGAGGACAACATAAGCAAACTCTGCCTCAGATGGATCACTGCTCGTCCAGTGCAGCGGTTTGCTCGCTAACCCAAACTAAAGTGCTCTCGCTGGGAGCTTCTGCTTTATCGAGGTTACTGATTGGTTGAATCCTGCTAACGTGTTGCTAATGACAAGCATGCACACATTTTTAAATTTGATGACGTCCTTTAATATTCAGTTCAATTTTATTTATATGGCACCAAATCACGACAGTCGCCTCAGGGTGCTTTATATGGTAGAGCCTGTAGTGAGGGGACTCGCTATCACTCGTGTTAAACCTCAGACATCGGCACTGATGTGCGTGTTAGTGTGCAGCTCTGGCTCTGCCGCAGTAATGTGTGTTTGTGCCCACAGGTGTTTGTGTGTCTGTGGAAAGGCTGCAAAGTCTACAACACGCCATCCACCAGCCAGAGCTGGCTGCAGAGACACATGCTGACCCACAGCGGAGACAAACCTTTTAAGGTGATCGCACACAGCTGACGCCACACACACGTCTGTTAGTCTGCCTCACTCGCGCACTCACGTCTGTGTTTCCTCCAGTGTGTAGTCGGGGGCTGCAACGCCACGTTTGCTTCCCAGGGGGGGCTCGCACGCCACGTCCCCACGCACTTCAGCTCCCAGAGCTCGTCCAAAATGTCCAGCCAGAGCAAAGTCAAAGAGGAATCTCCCTCCAAGGCCGGCCTCAACAAGAGGAGGAAGCTGAAGAACAAGCACAGGCGCTCGCTCCGTATGTACCGCACACACGCACAACGCCCCTCCAGGGTCACACGTTAAACGAATCGTTTCGTCTTTCTAGCACGACCTCACGACTTCTTTGACGCTCAGACCATGGACGCCATCCGCCACCGAGCCATCCTTCTCAATCTAGCAACACACATCGAGAGCCTGGGTAATGGACACAGTGTAGTCTTCCACAGCACGGTAATCACACACAGACACGCACACAGCAAACACACAAAGTCCTGTGCAGGTGTGATGCCGTGTTTTGTGCATGTGCAGGTAATCGCCAAAAGGAAGGAGGACTCTGGGAAAGTGAAGGTCCTGTTGCACTGGACACCTGAGGACATGTAAGTCCTCCCCAGCTTCAGTTACACAGGCCAGAGTGGGGGAACCCACAGTGGTAAACATGCAGTGTTAGTGTAACCGTGTTGTCGTTCGCGTCAGACTGCCCGACGTGTGGGTGAACGAGAGCGACAGAGTGCAGCAGAAGACCAAGGTGGTGCATCTGTCCAAGCTGCCCTCGGACACGGCTGTCCTCCTGGACCCGAACATCTACAGGTACGCCTGCAAAGATGCTTTCAGATGCTGACAGACAAACAGCTCTGATGTTTTCACCGTTCCTCTTGCAGAATGTTCTTCTGAGTGACTCGCGGTGACGTGATGACGCTCCAGGATCTCCCTCGTCGGTGGGACGTAGAGGGACTTGTTTGTTGTGATTCGTGTAGCCTCCAGTGTTTTCTACATTAGGTGCTGACTTTACTGAGTGTATGTAAGTGTAAGTAACACAACTAGGCTGGAAACTGACAGCTGTAACTGTAGAGAGAAGCAGTCTTTGTAAATACAGGAGATTTGTAATATATTTTTATACTTTGGATTTTACCTGGACTGTAGATAGACGTCTTTTTTCTGCCAGAACATTTTGGATATTTTAAAAGAGGATATGTTCATCGTGCATACACTGACACTGTTCTGTATGATGTCATTAAACCTGTCCAGTGTCCACCTGCTCTGAAGTCTTTACCTCCTAAATATATAACATAATATATATATATAATAATATATTATGTTAGATTATAATTGTTATATATACAATCTAACATAATATATTATGTTAGATCAGTTCCTCAGTACCCACATATCTGAGGACCTATTTATTTTTTTATCAGTTTCTGGAGTGTAACGTTTATCATGTTTGCCTCACACGTGAAA